CAATCTGAATAGATTCATAGAGTATTACTTAAGTCTCATTGATTTTATTGGTCCTATTGCATATAAAACTGAAACTTTGACAATTCTGGTAAAAAATGACTAGGCCTCAGAAGAAGGTTGGTTAGATATGAGAGAGTTTCATACAATAGATAAATTTATTCATACAGAATCTAAGAATAATTTGAGGTATGCTTTATCACGATATCCTGAAGAGCTAACTGAAAGATCCCAGAATTAACCGAAAGGTCAAGATTAGCCCCAGAAAAATAAACAATATACAATCTTCAGACTCAATAATTCCCACTAAGAGTCTGCTTCAACTGTATCAAGACAAGAAACTATTACTTTTTCCTCTCAATTCTAAGGTCAATAGATTGTGTATCCGCCAAAACTCAACCAGTCTAAAAATAAGCTCAATCAAAATTAAGATGAGCCATATACACCAAGATTTGAAGATTCAAGAAAGAATGAGGAAGATTAATAACTCCAACAAGATGATCGCCTCTCTATTCCTAAGAATGAATATCCAAAAGATAATTAGAAGCCAAGTCTATACATTTAGGATCAAGATCAATTTAAGTAATTAAATGAGATTGAATGGCATAATTCAAACTATGAAAAAGAGCTCCAAAGAAGACTTTAGTGATTTCGAAGACTCTAAAGAGATTTCGAAGACTCTAGTTATTTCGAAGACTTTGAAGAACATGCGAATTATTCAAAAAACTCAATTCAAACTAGAAAAAATATCTATCACAAAAGAAAAAGTCCTAGAAGAATTCAGCAGATGAAACTACACAAATTGCTTGTATTTTGCTATTAAAAACCAAATTTAAATTATGAAACCTAACTAAAGCCCAATACGAAAGAGCCATAGACAAATTAGCAAATAAAGGCAAGCAGGAAATCATTCTAAGTAAATGAATGTAAGAAAAAGCCAATTAAAATATAAGGATATTGATGCAATCGATGCAATTGGCTAATTGAAGAATATTTATATCCAAGATTTGGAATACCAGAGAATGAAATTCATGAATATTTTAACTGCAAAAAATAGATAATTTAAACCATTGATATATGAGACTTAAACCTACGTCTACTTGAAATGCTAGCAGTGCAGACTTTTCTAAGTGTGGTTCAAGAGGTACCAGGATCATGGAGGTTT